CCAGAGAAAAAAAAAAAAAAAAAAAAACAGATAAATTTTCCCATGTGACACAGGGCGTGATCCTGTCCTCTTTCTACTGGGGATACGTCATCACGCAGATCCCAGGAGCACTGATCGCCGAAACATTCGGCGGCAAGCACACGCTCGGCTTGGGCATCGTATCCACGGCAGTGCTCACGTGCTTGATCCCAATGGCCACGCGCTTCGGCGACGCTCCGGCCCTCATCGCCCTCCGGGTTCTCATGGGACTCTGCGAGGGCGTGACCCTCCCCGCGTTAAACGGTAATTCCCACATTAACCTGCTCATTCATTCGTTTAAACGACGATCTCGTGACGATTCACGTGCTTTGCAGTGCTCATATCCCAGTGGACGCCCCCCGACGAGAGGTCGAAAACCGGGTCCTTCGTGTACGTGGGCGCGCCCCTCGGCACCGTCTTCGCCACCGCGACCTCCGGTCTGCTCCTAAAGTACTTCGACTGGCCGATCGTCTTCTACTTCTTCGGCATCCTTGGGGCACTGTGGTACGTCATATGGATCGCCTTCTGTTACAACAGCCCCCGGGAGCACCCCTTCATATCGGACAAGGAGGCCCAATACTTGGAGAACGAGTTGTGCGAGCACGTCCACGTGAACCCGCCCTCGGTGCCCTGGAGGGCGATGCTCACGTCCATGCCCATGTGGGCCCTCATAGCCGTGCAGATAGGCCACGATTGGGGCTTTTACACCATCTCCTCGGATCTGCCCTCGTACATGGCCAACGTCCTCCTGTTCAAGATCGACGAGAACGGTTACCTGAGCTCCCTGCCCTACGTCGGCATGTGGCTGTGCTGCGTCCTCATGTCGTGGCTGGCCGATTGGCTGATAGCCACCGACCGCATGTCCAGGACTAACGTGAGGAAACTCGGGACGACCCTCGCGTCGATCGGCCCGGGGGTGTTCATCGTCGCGGCTTCGTACGCGGAGTGCGACAAAAAACTCGTGGTCGCCATGTTCGTGGTGGGGGTCACGTTTTTGGGATGCGGGATCCCGAGTCTCAAGGTCAACGCCCTCGACCTGAGTCCGAATTACGCGGGCACGGTGATGGCGGTCAGCAACGGCTTCGCCGCCTGCACGGGGATCATCACTCCCTACTTGGTGGGCAAGATCACGACGAACGAGAGACTCAGCGAGTGGCGCGTCGTCTTTTGGATCATTTTTGCCGTTCTCATGGTCACCAATGTGTTTTACCTGATCTTCGCCAGTGGCGAGGTGCAACCGTGGAACGACCCCCAACTCGCGGAGGATGAGAAAAACGACGACCGGAAAAGAAAGAAAAGCCAGGGCAGCGCGCAGTAGCGACTTTTGTTCCTCGATATAGAGTATTTATTTGCATTGTATACATACTTCATTCGATCGACCTTTTTTTTTTTCCTTTGGACGTTTACTGCACTCTCAGTAGGAAAATTAGAGTTCGAACCTGGCGCGCATCTAACCAGAGCACAACGAGTCCTCGGTCCTGCAATGGGGCTTGCCCTGCAGGATACGCGCGTCGACAGGTATGAAAATTACTATTTAGTATCAAATAACAAATAAAACTGTAACTAAAATGCTTACGTGTATTTATGATATTTTTGGCATGGGGAGATCGAAGCAAAAATAATAATAATAAGCGAAAAAAAATTCACACGAGAATTCAGCTCACTTTTTGATACTTTAGTTCTCTTTGAACGAGTTTTTGAGAAGAAAAACTATCGAAACCATCTTTTTATGTATTTGCATTTATAATCTCATACTATGGACACCAAAATGTTTAAAAATAATCGAAAAGTATAATCCAATTAACAGTAGTATAATTAACTTCTTTTCTGGGTCTTATCAAATTATTCGATTTGTTTTATATTGCAGCTGGATGAGTATGAAGTAATAGTATATATTATATAATATTAAATACTATACAACAATACAAAGTTTTTGTGAAATAATTTTATAGGTAAGTATGTTGTATTTACCATTTATGCTACGCGCCTTCGTTACAATAAAAAAAATCTCCATCCTAGTGTATTATATACATATATACTTATATATTTATTCGACCCTATATATATATATATATTAGATATTTTTTGTGACGTAACAATTTACGGAGCAAACACTTAACC